GTGGCTGACATGGGCGCCCTCTTTCTTGGCGGAAGCGTACGTGCCTCCGCCTATGCATCGAGATGACGCCTGCCATGATGGTTCACATGCACCGGCCGCGCCCATACAAAATTCAACCGCATTCAAGCCGTATATCGCAACTATTACGAAGTAAGTTTCAGCCGCATTTGTGCAACCGTATCTGCACAGATTTCGATGCAAGGCAGCAGCCCAAGATAACAGCTGTCGCCTGACCTGCATTTTTGCAGCATGGGAGGGCGCCGCTGATGGTCGCAACTGAAAGCGGGAATGACGACGTTGCTGCGCTTCTGGAGAGCGAAAAGTCCTGCCCAAGTAGACCCAGTTCCCTCGGTGCCCGACGAAGATCCAGCGAGGAGCACGCATGTAGAAACTTTTGCTATTTCGTACATCGGCTCATCGTACTTAGGACCTACATTGTTAGGATTGTCGGACTGCTCTGGTCTTTTCGATCTTTTTTCATTGATATCAGAATTTCAGTTGCTGGCACGGTCGTTGCTTCCACAATTTCATGTGATGCTTTGGGATTGCCTGGCTCCAAACTGACACGTTGATCATGCAGAAGCATTGCGTTCGTTTTCCTGGACATGCCGTCATGAAGGTGCAAGGGGCATCTCAGCCTCTCCGCAGTTTCTGGCCATGCGACAAGTCGCAAGGCAATTGGATGTTTTGAGGACCTTGACGCCCTTAGGGTGTCCAAGCGCACGCAGGACTTGAAGGGCTGTCGTCGCGTCTGGACGGCGAGCGGGAGGCGTCCGCGATCGATTGGGAGGTGCGTCCGGGATCGCGGGAGCGAAGGGGGCGGCGGGATGTGAGGGGGGGGAGGGCTGGAGGTCAAGGGGGGGAGTTGTGCTGGGTGTCGAGTGCGCGGGGACGTGCTCTGTTGGCGTCTGCCCTGGCGGGCATTGCGATTTGAGGGGTGTGGGCGTAGTGAATGGCCATGCGGGTGGTCAGAAGATCAGGGCCGGTGATCGGGAGGGGGCCCGCGGACGATGGTGGGGGTGCCAGAGGGCGAGTGGTGGTGGTCGTACAATGCACGTGTGCAGAGCCTGCACCAGTAGTTGGTGCTTAGTACGTTACGAAGCACGCAATATTTATTGCTTGGTCACATGCACACCTTCCCTAATGGTTGTCATGGGACCACACTACTTGGAGCCGCAGCACCAACCCATTCTGCTGACCAAATACACTGACCAGAGCACCTGAGCCTTGGCTTGAAAATTGTGGGATCAGCTGTGTGAGACGTAAACTTTATTGCATGTTGCATTGCACCTTCCCCCCTGCCCTTTACATTCTGTTGTGTGGAACATGAACATGGTTGCAGGATCACAATCTTGGGGAGCCATCAGGGAAAGGTGTCTGTTGAAACAGGTTACATAAATCCCCGTTGGGGTAATTGTTGCTCGAATCTCATTTGCTGTGATGCCATAGGTGATCGCCTCTCTTGCATGGATGGCCTTGTTGAAGACACGGTCGCCCTCAGGGAAATCACCACAACTAACTTGGGAAAGAAAACCACACCTATCCAATGATTATGTTTGGAACTGTGTCGCATCTTGTATTGACAAAGCTCTACAGTTCATTGGTGTCAAGTGCATCGAGGTGGGAGGTCTCAAAACAGAAAGTGTCGACTTGACTGGTAGGTTGATGATTTGCCTTCCTGGGAGGCATGTGAGCAACCAGCATGTGCACCACCGTCGGCTTTTGTGGCCTTCATCAGAAGTGTTTTTGAATACAATGTTATCCATATTGATTCGTTTGTGGTTTGCAGTTGTCAATGCTGGGAATGCGCTTGGCAAGCATGCAGAGTTTTGCCCATCTTTAAATGAGTTTGTACCCCAGAATGGTAAAGAAGGAAAATCCATTCAACTCTTTGTGGGAAAGCACGTCTGTGGCACGCCCTTTTGAATTGCTAAGAGGATCGCACATGTCATGCAACTTTGCACATTGTTCGCATTGAAGTTCCGACTGCCAGCTCTAACATGAACGCCTGTCCAAAGATGCCGGTTGAGTGATGACTCAAACCGCTCCTTGGAGTGGTCATGGCAAGCGTAAGCTCTGCATTCATCATAAGTTCCGTTCCACACGGATCTCGAGCTCTTGCAAGCCTCACGGCATGAGGAAACGATGACGGCACATGACACGATGAGCTTTCTTCTTCTTTTCACAGACACTCGCCAGCCTTTTTATGTCCCTAGGACACATCGTTAACAAACGTCGTTAACAAACGTCCATACAGCAATTCAGTCGTCTGCCAACTCACTACTGAAGCACAACCGAAGTGTTACTTTTACTGTATGTTTTGAAAACATACCTATACGGACGTGCTGTGACCCGAACAATTACCACAGACGTCCTTTCGCTCAGCAACCGGTACTAGGCGTGGCCTGCCAGAACACATGCCCTTCACCAACACCAAAAAGAGAGCGGCGATGCGAAGAGAAACGACTGGTTCTCAACTCCGCCCCTCCGCTCGGATCACTGCATTCCCGGCTGGTCACGTCATCAATATGGTCGTTCGCACGAGTGCTAAGTAGCGATTGGCAAGATCCAAAAAAGCACGCGAATCAGAGTGGAGGACAATAGAGCGATCAAAACACTGAAAAGCTGAAGAAACGCATATCCACAACTTCCCATCAGCAAGCCGGGAAGTTCCAAGCACGATTCCTTGCAGTCAAGACGCACCAACCAAGGCAGTTTTTCCTGCAACCTGAAGATTTTTCACAAACTCAAGGGGCACTGCTCGGAACGCCAATTATAGCTAATGTAAACAGTATCTAGAAGATTACGACAATCGCCCCGTGTAGTCCAGAATACAGTGGATAGACTGGACATGATGGGAAAGACACTCCACGTTGCCAAATCAAGTCAAAGGATCCAAAGTTCTATCAGACAAGCAACTGCAGGAATACCCACGATTTATTCATAATTTTGGCAGTTGCTGCTAATGTCTCGTCCGCTCAGAGGTGAGCGCACTGCCTGGAGGCCACGCTGCACGAGGTTAGGGAATCGATGCAGTCAGGGCAAGGTAACAAACGATGGTGCTGGTCCTGGCCAGGACTCATGGGTGGACACGGCTGCCCCCACCTGGGCGAGTAAAGTCAACTCCCCCGGCTGGGGATACTGTCCCGCCCTGGCTATTCTCCCGTCATGGGAGACTCTCCGGGCACGCCCGCCCATGGCACAGAAGAGGCTTGGTGGGGCCAACGCCAAAAGGAGAGTATCGTCATAGTTCACAACACGGGTAACAATACAATATTGTCAGGCGCACTGCCGTGTTTCAGTGGTGTGAAATTCCCAATGTCCCGCCCGACCTGCCCCACCCTTGCTCATCATTCTGCTACCCTGTCTGCCTCAGGCTGAATTAGTGGGCGTCAGAGCCCAATGAATTACGACCTTGCGCAATACTGGTTCCCACCCAGCCATCCACAATCCTGGAATATATATCCGCACATCCCACAAGTATCCTTGCCCAATGTTCTGCACGGCATTACCCGTCCCCGTACGCACATTCTCTTCTTGGCCTGTCCTCCGCCTTTTGAATGTTGTCTTGATGATGGTATCTACCGGCTTCCTGGTTCCCTTGGTTTGTTTGGTTGAGGCGATTACACGTCGAGGGCGAAGCTCTATGTGTGTTGGGGGCGAATGATATGGCAGTGACTGGTCCATCATGGAGAGATGGTTGTATGGCTATAAAGGGACATGCCTGTCCGTGACCTATCTGTAACTCTATTCGGGGCCAGAATAGCTCCGCTCGAGACCGAATAGCTCCCCAGAATAGCACCGGTGCTATTCGCGCAGAACATTGTAGTGCTGCAGTGATGATGTTCGGCGTCGTCATAGCACCCACCATTGCGGATGCGTGCAGGGGAGCAATAGCACCGGTGCTATTCGGCAAATGCCGCCTTAGTAAGGTGGCACGGCAGCCAATGAAAACCTTTCCTATATAACTCCGCCGGTGCAATAGCACCGACTGATAAAGATGCTCTAACCTATCTGTACCCTCAGCTGTGTGTGTCCCCAAGCCCGTGGCTGCGCCTGCCTCCGATGTAGTCCCACTCCGAACCTGGCGTAGCAGGGCCAAATGCATCGGGGACTCCCAGATGGACGCCACAAACAACCCCTCTAGTTGCCATCCAGGGGCACACTAGTCGACCGTAGCCGATACAGTAGTCCGGAATCTTGCAGGGAACGGGAAATCCAGGCTCGTGCAGCGATCCATGGCGCCCATGACACGGAGCCAGAGGGAAGCACCAGTGGTGCCCTCACTTCATGGGAGGCCTGCACCCTCCACAGTTCCCAACCCCCCCGGGGCAGCGACAACGCAGCTCCACCGCGCTGTCGCCACTGTCAGTATCTCGGACAGGGCGTTGCAGCAGCCTTCAGGCCTGCGCTTCCGCGGGGATCGGTGCGATTGCCCTGTACCTCGCGGCCCCGTGTTCGACGGCACCTGAGGCGCCGAGCGCGGCTGCGTCCTGGATTCGCCCTGGGCCGATCCGCCGGTCAGGGCGACACACGGCACTAGACAGCCGCCACAGGGCATCCCGTTTTGCGGGATAGGCAACTAAGTTCGGGAGTTCAACTGGCTGTCGGGAAAGTGAGTGGGATGCGCCTGGCAGTGGGAGCCGCCTACCCGTGGGGATGCGGGTCAGTCGATCGGCTTTGTGTCCACAAAAAGGGAGACATGTTCATCCAATGCCGATCGTTGGCAGCCCGTCTGTTTCTCGCGCAGTTCCCGTCTGCCGGTCCACGCCACGAGGAAGACTTCGCGGCAGCACTGTTTCCGAGTTTGGGGTCGCGCGGCATGGCTTTGCTCTTTTGTTCCGCATTCGGACAAATTGACCTCGCATGGATGTTGCGGGTGAGCAAGTGACAACCATCGATGCGATTGCCCTGGCAGTTTCAGGTAGGAATCCGTTTTGGTAGGCCACCGCAGAAAGATGCTTTCATGGCATTTCGTTGCTCCCTGCGCAGGGCGAGCCATGGCTGGCGAGGTCATTGGGCTCATCGACATCGCCGTCAACTGGGGCAAGGAGATAAAGGCTACGGTGGACGCCGCGAAGCACAACAAAGATGCCTGCAGGGACATTGGGGTGCGCGTCGCGCTGCTGGCGGAGCTGGTCGAAAGCCAGAAAAAGAAGCCCGAGCGCGAGTTGGAAAGGCTGAAGGCGTCGGTTCTGCGCGTGTCGGAGGACCTCGAAAAGGCAAAAGATTTTCTCAAGATGTACAACAGTGCGAGCTGGCTGAGGCGCCACGCCTTTGCAAAGGACTACAAAGATGGGTTTTCAGCTGTGGGGGAAGCCCTGAGCATTTCGCGTTCAGGTATGCGCTTTTGCTGCCTCTTTGCTGCTGAATTGGACGCCGTACGGCTATATCGCGCAGATGCTGATGCCCCCCTGCACCTACAGACATGCAGATGACACAGGGAACTGTGCACTCTTTAGAAAGCGTTTCTGATGGGGTTCGGCATGGTTCTGGCGGAAAGAACTGGGGTTGTGGCTTCACGCATTGTCCACTCGCAGTTTCCTATTTGGTGCCTAGTTTGACTGATTACTTGTCGTTGCAGACTTTGCTGCTGTGGTGGATTCTCTTGTGCTAGAGAAGGTCAATGACCTCACTGCAGCAAACACAGCCATGCAAGAGAAGTTTGACGCTGTGTTGGTAAGAGTGAGGAGCCACAAGGAGAGTGCAGACATCAGAACATTGGAGATCTGTGAACGGCCAGGCCTTCCTGAAAGTGCGACTGCGCTGAAGCCCAGAGTGGATGCCATCAAAAAGATGGTGTTTGAGCCGGGCTCAAACCCCACAGCTCTGGTTGGCATGGGTGGCGTTGGTGAGCTTGTACACAATTCATCAGAATCAGAGGCTGTACTGTTCAAAAGATGTTTGCAGGACCCCTGTTTTCAGAGTTTTGCAATCACCATTGTGGGCCACAATTCCAGTTGCCAGTTGGTGGAACGTTTGTTGAATGCATGATTCCAAATATTGGTACGTCAACGTCCCCAAGGATATTTGTACCACCACAATCATATGGTGGCACTTGTGTGTTTCAGCGCTCTGCATTTGCAAGTACTTGATTTGAAATGCAAGCCATGGTAGTGACTGATGGTGGTGTGCTAGAGTTATCAGTGGACATGCTTGCTCGTTAATAATGAGGAAGCAGTTGTAAACTCCTTATACAGTTTTGTTTTCTGTGTGTCATTTTAATTCCTTCTGTGCAATTAATGTGGAGCGGACAGATATTTGGGTGTCTGATGTGCTTGTGCCATCAGGTAAAACTACCCTCGCTGCCGCCTTGTGCGCGGCAGTGGCAGATGATTTCGATCACATTGTGTGGATCAATGTGGGGCAACGTCTTGAGGAATCGGACATCCTGGCGCGCCTACAACAACTGTGGAAAGATGTCGTGAAGTCAGATCCACCGCACAAGAGCATCGAGGGCATGCGCATTGCGCTATTGAAGGAACTGGAGAGCAAGAAGGCTCTGATTGTCTTTGACAATGTGTGGAAGTTTGATGACATCAAGAGATTGTTGGTTGTCGGCGACCAGGGCAAGGTGCTGTTTACAACAAGAGATTCAACGATTGCAAGGCGGGTCCATGCAAGAGAATACAGGGTGAAGGAGATGGAGGAGGAGCAGGCAGTGGAGCTCTTCTGCCGTTGCGCATTCCAATGCCCTTCAATCCCAGATGACAAGGAGGTGTACCGGCATTGTGTGGAGGCAATGGTTGCCGAATGCGGAGGGCTGCCTCTGGCACTCAATGTGGTGGGTTCATTGGCGGCTGGCTACTTGGTGTTGGAGGAATGGCAAGAAGGTTTGACCAAGCTCAGGAAGTCCACTGGGATGTGCACTGAGTACGACAAGAAGGTTTTAGCCCTGCTGAGGATGAGCTTTGACGGCCTTGAGGATGATGAGCAGGATCTATTTCTGTGCCTGGCAGGAAATCCTGAGGGTTACCATGTCAGTGTCTCTGACTTGGTGGAGCAGTGGGTGCTGCAAAAATATGATATGGACAGGGAGGAAGTGGATTCTGATGAGGAAGCACACATTGATGAGCACTTGACACTCGGCTACAAATTGTACATGCATCTGGTGCACCGTTCACTGGTCATTCATGACCCCTCTGGCATTGTTGGTCTTCAAGGAGAGACAGATGAGGCGTTGATGTTGTCCATGATGGGATTTCAGGAGACCGAAGTGCGGACAGCATCCTGCCATCTACATGACCTGATTCGAGAGATGGCCCTGATGGTGACAAGCGAGGGAGACATCACAAATCGGCAGCGATTGTTTTCTTGGACCTCAAAGAGCCTACAGGCTACCACTGCAATGGCGGTGGAGCTGTCGACCTGTTCTACCTCAGCAACCGGCCTATTGCCAGGAGATGTTCGCCTGCCAAAGCTCCGGTCATTTGTTTCAAGGGCCTCAAGGTTGCAAGCTTTTCCTGAGGCAATCCTGCTCTCTGATCTCAGGGTTCTTGATGCATCTTTCGCCAACCTGCAATCGCTGCCACAGGGGCTCTCGCGCCTCCAAGGACTGCAACTACTGAGATTGGACGGCAACACGATTGAAACGCTGCCCCAAGAAATCGGCCATCTGAAGCACTTGGTTGTATTGTCACTGCGTCTGTGCAAGATGCTGACAGCTCTGCCAAGCGGAATTGGAGAGTTGGGGAACCTGTCTGGCTTGCATGTTGGTGGTTGTGCACTCCAGCACCTGCCAGATTCAGTAGGGAACCTGCACAGTTTGAAGAAGCTTGACCTCAGCTTCTGCTCTGACTTGAAAGAGCTGCCTGTTACATTGGAATCTGCCAGCGAGCTGGAATGCTTGAATGTGAATGGCTGTGGGCAGCTGGCATCCCTTCCACTGCGATTGGGGTCTCTTCTTAAGCTCAGAGTGATCCTTGCAGTGGGATGCACCATGCTGACAGAAATGCCAAAGAAGTGGCCAGACAGTTTGGAGGTTTTAGATTTGCAGGGATGTGAAAATGTGAAGGAAATACCTGATGCAACGGATCTTCAACAGTTGCGAATATTGCATTTGTATGGTTGCTTTGGGCTTGAGAGCTTTCCCAGCTCAGGAATGCCTAGCCTGCAGTCGTTGGGATTGCCTCTGGTTGACATCTTTGAGCTAGAATCAAAGAGAGCCGAACACAAAGAGGTTGCTAAGCAGCTCAGGACACGCTTGGACCTGGACGATGGGGTGTACTACTTGGTGAAGGGCAAGTTCACTCCGAGTTTTCACAGATGGCTGCAAGGAACTTCCATGCTGAAACTCCAACCGCAGGGAGTACAGTACTCGTACATCAAAATGAAGGTATGTGTTTGCAACTCATTTTGCATGCACACAGTTGCTTTGTTCCCTTTGAACAGCACAGTGTGGAGGCAACTAGCCCAGCTGACAATAATTGTCTCAACATCCATGCAATTCTGTGGCCAGGGAATCGTAGTGTCGACCTTCCAGTGAATGGTCTGTAACGGTGTTTGTTGGCAGTTGCAGGTGTCGCAAGATATCTCTTGTGTCAAGATGTGTTTTAATGTAAAATTCGCTGGTGCCCGCATTTGATGCAAAATCAGTGAAACACTTATGTGGTTTGTGCAGGATGCATGGACTCCACTGACTCGTGCTGCCTACAATGGGCAGACCTCTATTGTGGAGTCGTTGCTTGAGAAGGGTGCTGATGGGAATGCACCAGATAAGGTGTGTTTTTGTCTTCTCCTTGAGCCATGCAGCAATGCTTAGGGAAGCTCTGTACGTGTTTGCTGCGTTTAACGATGCCAGATCCTAAGCCTGGTTGTCAGTGATCTTGGTATGGGTCTGTTTCCGCCGTGGGCTGGAGGCTGCCGTTACTATGAAGCCAACAGCACAGGGATTGCACTGCAAAAGTGCTAATCTAGCTTCTTGAAAAAACGGGTTCTCCGCCACAATCGAGTGACCTGTGCCCCATGTTGCTGCGAAGATAGCAACTTGTCCGTCGTTGACGGATGTTCCTCAGTGGGCAACACTGTGGGGTTGGTGGCAAGGGGTCTGCTATGACTCTGGCCCACCACGGTTCGACCCTGCGCGTGATGTCGCGATAAGTGCTTAGTCGGCCCAGCTCGACTGCTACTTGCACCTGGCCTTCGCATGTGAGGCAAGCTGGGGCGGCTGGCAACGCCGCTACCGTGGCTTGTGAAAGGCCTACATTGCAGGACCCTTGACCTTGTGGGACGCAGCAGTAGACAACCTTGGTGTGTAGCAACGGCGGTGTCGTCGATCACAGCAGGCTCCATTGCAACACTCGCCAAGGCAAATGGGGCTGCGTCCCCATGGACAATGAGCTCGCTGCACGTTCAACGTCTGTTGACCATCGGTTGATCCCCCCATTGGTGCCAGATCACAATGGTTGCACATCAGCCTTCTTTCTGCCGCCTGTGTGTTCAGAGCCTGTGAGTTCTTCTTGCAGTTTCTGTGTTCCGGCTGTGGTCACTGCCCGTTGACTGCCTGTTGCCTTCGTGTTGACCTCCCATTCAGTGCCCGTTGACGAACCGTTGACATCGCGTTGATCTCACGTTGACCACACTTCGGCACTTCAACTGTGATCCAGGGGGCCTGGCCGCTCCAATCCATCGCCTACGCTGCAACAGAGGCAGAAGGGAAGCCCCTTGCACCGCCCCAAACCAAGGCCACTCAGCCTATCTTCCCACAACGTGCGCAAAACTCGCTTGTTGATCGCGCTTTAGTGGTTTGCCCCACAAGGATTCCTGACCTCGTCCAATGGCTCCTTGAGGCCACTGAGCTTGCTGTCCTGCGACCTCTTCGCAGAGCTGAGAAGAACAATGTTTGCTCTAGAGTCCCAATCTCGGTCGACGTCGCCGGAATTCCCCATCGCCAGGGGGTGGTGGCGCCGCCACCACATGGCCTGTGGCGTTGGTGGGGGAACTGAGAGCCCTGCCAACGCCGTGGATGGCCCCTCCCCCCCCTCCCCCTTGTGACAAATCCCAGCAAGGAACTAGATTCCATTTGGCCCAGATCTCAGCCACTGTGCATGAAAACTGTTCTTCTGTTTTACGACTCCAAATGGCCGGCAGCCCCGTGTCTCAGGGAGTGGAGGTCATCTCAACACATTTGTTTCTATGGGAGGTGTCACCAGGCTGTTAAGTTTTGGATGAGTGGTATAGTTGTACATCTGACACTGACTTGGGTGAGCTGTTTGGCTCACAAGATATGGGTGCAGGACTCACAAAGGATGTGTCGTGTGCAGGATGGCTGGACGCCACTGACCCGTGCAGTTGACAATGGGCAGAGATCTGTAGTGACGTTGCTGCTTGACAAAGGTTTCAGTGGTGATGTGTCAGATGAGGTGCGTCTGCTTTTCTTTGAAGCATTGAAAACCCCCATTCCCAAATGTTGGTGGCAGGCTCTCCTTGTTGGCTGCCAATGGCAGTGCAAGCTTCCCTCCAAGAGAGTCATTCTTTGCTTGTTGACAATCTCATGTTTGGCATCAGCAGGCATTTGTGCATGCTACTTTTAGGAATATGAATCAATATTGCAAAAGCACTGCATTTGTGTGATCATTCATACATGTGAACCATGGTGGGGACACATTAACACTATTTCTGAGGAGTTGCTGGACATTGCTGGATTTCCTGCGGGCAGGCTACTATGTACGAAAATTGCTGTGTGGGTGTTGACTGCAGCTTGGATGGTCGCCGCTGGCCCGCGCAGCTGCCAGGGGCCACAAAGACATGGTGCAGTTGTTGATTGAACATGGTGCAGAAGCCACTATGGTGGATAAGGTGGGCCTTCTGTTGTTTTCAAAAGTTGAGCCATTATGCCATTATATATTATGTTTGCCTTGCCTTCACCACAGAAACCAGTCAAATGCACTTTACTGTGACTTGACATTCCTGAGTTTCCTTTTTTCAGCACGTCCAACATGTTCCATTTTTGTGTTACTTGCCTGCAACATTCAAGGCCAGCACAGAGCACTGTGTGAACTTATGGTGTAAAAGTGCATCAGTGGGTGTACCTTTATGGTATGCTTGTTTCAGGTTGTGGCTGTTCCGAAGGGCGAGTTGTTAAGCGCATAACTAAGAGATCAGGTGTCTTTTGCAGAAAGGAGTGACACCACTTGGGGGGGCAGCTGCAACTGGGCAAGCATCTGTTGTGGAGTTTTTGCTCGATAGTGGAGTTGATGGGAATGCATCAGATGAGGTGGGGTACGCAAGTACGATCGCTTGAGTTGGCTGCTGCTTCTCTGATCCCATTCCCCTCAGATGCTCACATCAGTACTTTATCTGCGCTTCCTTGCATCCGACTGTCTGGTCCGGCTGCCGCAGATGGCAATAAAACTCACCAGTTTTGGTGTGCCTTGGAGATCGCCCATCACACGTAACAATCGTGTCGAAATCATGTCCTGTGGTGGTCGATTGCTGTCAAAAGATGTAGAAATTTCAAACGCCCCATCCTTCCACTCCTGCCTTCACAGCTTGACAATTGGAATTGCCACTACCCTTGACTGCTGGCACCCTTTCACCCTTTTCCACTGCCTGTGTTCCTCCCCGTGTAGACAGCAAAACTTGCCAAGTGCCAGGTTGCCGATGCCTCCATTCTGTATGTTGCTTATTCACCCTTCCGTGGGCTCCTGGTCCCCAACCGACTACCCCATGCCGTGCCCCCCCAATCCCCCCTCCCCCCAGTGTCAGTAACAGCCGCATAGCAAGTCATGGGTGGTGCATTGCATGTGTTGCCATGAAACCTTGACAGACTCAGACAGTACAAGTTGGATAAAATTTGAGGTGACATGCACAGCACCGGCAAAGGCCCTCCTTGCCATTGGTACCAGAAATGGGAAAGCACATCTGCAAGGAATCTGAGTCAGAGGAACGTTTTACTGCCATATTCCATGGACTTTGATGGCCCGGTGGAGCAGGAAAGTCTCCATCATGTTAGGTGCCAGGTGCAATGAGGACTGTGCCGTATATATCAGTCAATGACTGTCATATGAGGATGTGATTGTCGACGCGTAACTCTACTGATAGTGAAACAGAACATTAATGTAATGTTGAAGGCAGCAATGCGCATTTCGAAAGGCACATCGGTTATTTGCAAGATGGGGGGAGCCCAATCATAAACTGTGAGGTTGCAATCGGACAGAGTACATTTCAGTAGCATACACATTTGAAATTCGATTTATGGAATGTCGCTGCATGTATCAGATAGTGTGTCTCCCCTAAAAGACAGTACATCCTATATGTATGTACATATGGACCAGTCCCTTTGGGCTAATGCTATTCAAGGCTGAGTACATAGGTGTACTTGCTGTGCTGGTTTGCTCCTGAAATATGTACGTATACACCCGAAAAATCGCAGCCCATTAAGCAAGAGAATCGCAGCTCAAGGCGCATGCTTCGAGGTACCCTTGGTGAAGCGCTGCAGCGCGTTCCTTTGCATGCACTTGAACGTGGACTCAACAAGCACACCTGCAAATGTTGAAGTAGAGGCTCCAGAGTCACTCTCCTCAAGAGCGAGCCGTGAGCCGTTGCTTTCCATTTTTGGCATCGCAAGTTGCCACCAGCGATCCAGAAACAATGGTGTCTGCAGTGTGGCTAACTCAGCCTGCATGTGCTTATGCACATATGTGTCCTGCACGCCTGAGTACCATCAAAGGAATTGCCATGCATAACATTGGATAGGAGGACGTTTCAAAGGACAGTGTGTCGTGTCACAAGACAATACCTAAATGCAGTTGAAATGACCTTGTGATTGCCAACGGGCCTCCATTCGTTGCAGTAGGCAAACGGTAAAGCACCATACCAGTACTATGCAAAGCGATGGCTTATTTGCCTAATATGTTGAAAGTACCATTTTGTTCCAATCAATATGTCTGCTAAATGTCGTTGGCAAAAACGTGCCATTCGGGATGCCATTTTGCATTTTTGATAATTTTCGGATGCAACGCTGAGAGTTCGCATGCAGACTAGCTGGGCATCAGAAAACTGCCATGTACTTAACACGCATTTGGAAGGTTGAATGCTTGCATTTCACTTCCACATTTTGAAGTTTTCTGCATAGACGGGTGTAGAGGTCAGCATTGGGTTGGAAATGCCGTTAGGCACCATTAGGGACATATTTGGAAAATTTTTCCTTACCAGGCCCCATTAATATATGCCAGCGGCAAAACTGGTCATTTCTCACGGCATCATTTCTGGCTTGGGCCGTTCGGCATTGCACGGGCTGGGCTTTTGCCGTTCTTTGCCACTCCCCATCGTCTGGGAGCCATCGGCCACTGTGTTTGGGAAAAGGGTGGTCGCTATTTGCCAGGGAGTGCGGCGAATTGGGTCTTGATTCATGTGTGCCAAGGGAGACAAAGTCACAGGAGGGGGGGTCCATTGTGGCTTTCGCCTGTAGGTGCCGATCGTGGCCACCCTTGGGCATTCACTGGCATGCCTAGGTGGCCACAATCAGTACTTGTGAAGAAGCAAAGCCAGTAAGAAAAAGAACTTTTTTGTACCCCTTTTCGAAGAAGCTCCATGCTCCTTCCTGTGCCTGTTTGCCTGCAGCGCATGCCCCCCTTTCCCTGCGTGGTACATGGGCCTCTATCATTGCATTGAGGCCTAGTTTGGCGGGCTGGTGGAGGTTGCTTTCCACTCATTTGCATCTCAGCTGCCGCCAGCATACCCTCCAAACCTCCCCATCCTTCTCTTGTGTAGTCCTTGCACCTCCCTACCCCCCATCCAAGCTGAGGCTCAATCGCCAATTCAACCATCGATTGAGCCCAAATTGTCTGCTCTAGGCGGTCTTTATTGCCTTTCCTGCACCTCCCCCTTACACATCCCTATGTCTCCCCACACTGAGTTGGGGCCTCAGCAAGACGATCTAGTGCATCGACGAATTGATCCTTCAAATTGACGAGCCAACGACATTGTGCACTTCCTTTATCGCTTCCCTATGGCCTCCTTGCCCTTCTCTCACTGTTTAAATAGGATCCAGGCCTGCTAATCTCCAAAATCGGCAGGCTTTGTCCCTAATAGCCAAGCTCGGAGTGTTTGTTGCCTCGCTCATCACTGCCCCCACGCCCTTGTGGCATGCCACTTCCTGTGATCCGGGTTGCTCAAAGTGGCGATCTGCCATATGAGGGCCATTGAGCCACAGATTCGACTAGCTTTGGGAATGATTATTCGCCTCCCCACTCCTCTCCACGCCTCCTGAGTCTCCCTTGCCCCTCCCTCCCGCCCCCTCCAGCCAAATTTGGAGCTCAGTCGCCGATTCCACTGGCAACTGAACCCCACTTTGTCCGCTTTGACTTTTGGCATCTCTTAGTGCCTCCCCCTGTCCTCCTACACGCCTTTCCCCTTTTCGCCACACCTGCTCCATACATCCCTCGTGCTTCCATGCTCCTCAACTGTTGGGCACACCAAGGCTTGGTCAGGAAGGCTAACGCGCGATGCGTTTGCCAAGTTGTGTGCTTGCATGTGCGTCATGGGTGGACATTGCTAGGTGTGGGCTGGCTGCCAGCCCATCAGCGAGCATCTCAGCTGTACACGTGAGGTTGCCACAAACTGCCCCCAGGGGAAGCTCCTCAATGCAGCCCTATTACTAAATGCACCGTTCATAAACTGTTCTGATGCCATAAACATCAACAACAACATACAAAATCGGTTCTGCACCATGGGTGCCCTTATGTAACGGCCTGCAACACTGACCTCTAGTCGGGTGAGCTGTGGGAAGTCAGGCTGGCAGCTCCGTCGCTCACAAAATGGTCGATGGGAACTGGCACAAGCAACTATTGCAACTATCTTTGCCAGCTATGGCAAGAGGATATGGTGAATCACTCTCACATTGGAGCATGTCCGGGTGCACCTAATCAATGCCAGCCAGCATTTGAAATTAGCAAATAGAAGTTTTCTGTGTTGCCTTTCTACGCACCTAGTCATGGACAGCTGGAGAAGGAGGGCATGACAGTCAGTGCTGGAGTCGTGTGCGATTTCAATCTGGCACGGAAACAGGTCGCCATGTTCGAGCATGGAATTGCGCATTCTGACGAATCCACTACAAGGGCGAGCAATTATTTGGTTGTATCAATAAATATCATCTATTGTCTCATGAGAGAATACATTGCATCGTATCCAAGTGGCGATGTGTCTGTTGTAAGAATTCTCGATGTGCGTTGTTACCAGGATGCGATTTGGGGCGACACACCATATCTGATGTGAACATCAATGCGATTTCAATGTTTGGTGATTACCCTTGATGCCCACTTCCGACTGCGGCATTCTTCAGCATGACAACCTTGATGCAGTAGCTGGCAGTGCACCATTTCCCACGATTGCCACATTGAAAGATGAGAATGCATCTGTGGTGTTGCCTGCAGAAGGGCATGACAGGACTAATGCATGCGGCTCTTGGTGGGCACGATGCCATCGTCAAAATGCTCCTTGACAAGGGTGCTAACACGAGCGACAGAGATAAGGTGCGATTCAACGTGGTCGAAAAAATCGTACTGCTGCATCGATTCACGGTGTCCAGTTGCTTCTGAGGTCCTACAGTTGCCCGTTCAGTGCGGTTGCATTCACCACCTGATATCCATGTGACTTGCTGTGCAGAAAGTCACGCCTGCTTGAGGAATCTTGTGTATGGCAGCGTTTAATTTACGTAATTTGCATTTACTCAAAGTAAACAACTCACATAGTCTGTATTCTGTGGCTAGCACGATTGATCTTCTGATAGTGTCCGTTTTGGGATCTAGGGTTGCAATGTTATTTGGATATCTCTCGGTGCTATTGCCATCTGAACCATTAAGCTGATGTCACTGATGCTCCAACAGCATGAGCATTTATGGGCACAGAATCAGGACACCATGTTGGCCGCAGAATTGCGCATTCGACGTTTTTGCTGTGAGGGCATGGAATTAATTGGCAGTGCCAATTACACTGAGAGAATAGCTTTCATGGGATCCCACCAGCGACATACATGCTTCCTAACAGTCGCGGATTTGCAGTAATAATAGCAATGTGATTTTGAGCGATACACCATATCTGTTGTGTGGCGCCAACTCTTCATCATCATAATCATCATCAAGCAGAAAGCCGCACAGATGAGGGATGATGCCTTCCCACCTTCAACCCACCGATTAATTTGGAAGTGACCATCAAATACATGAAGCACGCACAGCACAATATTGCAATTCTGAAAATTCTGTTTCCCCCATGGCAGGATGGTTGGACAGTCCTTCATTGCGCAGCTGGAGGCGGATCCGCAGAAGTAGTCAGCTGCCTGTTGGAACGCTGCGATGCTGCCTTGCTGAGTGCCAAGACTGAGGTGGGGCAGAACTGGTCACGAACATTTTTGGACTGTCAGGGAATGCCACTGCTGTGGCTTACAAAAAACCCTGCGCTGTGAGCCCTTTGGCGCATTGGAATGCAGTGAGGGGGGCCGTTGCCGTGCAGCAACAGTACTTCCACCAATCACAACAGGCGGCTTTTCATGGATCCTCAAGGCACGTCGGCCTGTGACCCAGCAGACTGCGTGTTGACGGTTAGATGACTGCCCCCTGTGCGCCATTGACCAGCCATTCACCAACCGTTGACTTCACGCTCACCACCCGTCGACTGCCCTTCAGCCCAGGGCCCAGGGCAGGACTGGCCACTGCAGTCTGTTGCCTGATGCAAGACAAGGGGCAGAAAGGGGGCACCTGTGCAACCCCTCCCCCCAAGGTCATCCGACCAAGTTTGCCCCAGCGAGCAGAAAGATCGTTTGTAGTCCACCGTATTGTATATTGTATGTACGCCGTTCAACATCCGTTGACTCAACACTCACTGCCCGTCGACCGCCCTTCAGCCCAGGGCCCAGGGCAGGGCTGGCTCCTCCAATCCGTCACCTGACGCAAGACAGGAGCCAGAAAGGGGGCGCGTGTGCGTCTTCCTCAAAGGCTGCCCAACCAAACTTTCCCCGCAACCAGCACAAAGATCGCTTGTGGTCCAGTGTGTTGTATCCTATGTGAACGCTGTTGAATCCACTTTGTGTGAGTGCCAATGGAGCATCCATACGCTGTAATGGGCTTTGTAGACTGCTGGTAAGGTACTGTATCAGTATTTTACGTTGAAGTATGGTACAAGTAAGGAACTCATTTTCCCAGTACTTATTCTGCCTGAATAGCGCTTGAGGATGTGGTTGTTGCAAACATGCCATGTGTGACACAGTTGCTTGCTTGTGGGTTGCTTACAATGGAAAGTGCCAAGATTTAAATAGGCCGTTCCACGCGCAATGTGCTCCCATGGGGTAACCAGGCCGTTGGGATGCCCACCCTTGAATTTCGATTCTTCGAATTACTGCATTTTCTATTTAAAAGCAATTGTGTTGTGTAGATCTAATTGCAGAATGGATGTCGAGGATCGCTCTATTACTGCGACTTGCTTGCATGTTTGACGCTTGCATTTCACTCCCATATTCTGAAGCTTTCTCCAGTAAATAAACCTGCAGCTGGGCGATCTTTGGGCAGTCGGGCCAATGGCTCCTACATTCACAGAAGAGTAGAAGAGATGGTCATGTACCCTGTTTCGATTCCTGGAGCCACATGCCTGGCTGTCCACAGGTCAAACGTGTCCGTGGACGTTTTTTCAAGGGAACCAAACTTTGAAACACCCTTTTAGGCAAATGTGCCAGTAGTCCAGAGTGCTTTGACGTCAAAAACAGTGGTCCATTTGCCCAAAACTTGCTGTTTGCACTATTTGTGGATAGTGGCGTTGGTGTGGCTATATTGTGCAGTATGCCCATTGGACTCTTTTTGTGCCTGGGACTTTTCGTGGGCCATGCGCTGGTATTGGCTGCTCGTTTTGGTTGTGCTCAGCAGTATTGAACACCCCTGCTGCACGCATTGTGATTCCTGTGTTCGGTGGTCATCCTGATGCTCACACTTAGCCATGGCATTCTCCAGTGTGACGAGATGGATGCTGTGGTTGGCAGTGCATAGCTTCCCACGAGTGAGGCTTTGAGAAATGAGAATGCATCTGGTGTGTTGCCTGCAGGCAGGACACACAGCACTGATGCTAGCGGCTTTCAATGGGCACAGCGCTGTTTTCAAAATGCTCTTGGACAAGGGCGCTGATGCGAGCGTCGTGGAAAATGTGCGTTTCTTCTTGATCAGAAAATCTACATTGGTGCATTGATTCCCCGTGTTCTTGTTTCCGCCTTCAATTTGAGGTAGCCGGGGCCATGGAATTGTGTTGCGCTATCGCCACTTGCCAATCATGGCACGTCACATCTGGTCATTACACACATCATTTACAAGGTGAACATTATGTGACATGTATGTTGATAGACACCACTGTGCATGAACAGGCAATGGTGGTGAATTTGATATTCTAACACGTTGATGGCGTGTCAACTGCTGGGCAGTGGTTCCCCCGGTGATCAGTAAGCTACTGACCAAGTATGGCCCTTTGGTGCAGTTGAGTACAGCACAGCTGCAAAAGGAAGCTGGAAAACCAATTGGCCACAGAACTGAGGCGCCATGGGAAGCCAAATAACTTTTTGTTGCAAAAGAATCAATGGGAGAAGTTGTATCTAGTACATGGCGTCAAAAGCCATTCTTGCCAAGCAGGGAAACTTGCAGATGTGGAACAACGTCTTTCCGCCTTTAGGTTTGTTGATGATTGGGGCAGTTGCTCAATTAAAATTATTGGAGAATGTTGCATACACAGTCGCATATTCTGACAATTTTGAATCCTGTATGTCAGGACGGAGTCACAGTCCTGCATGCTGCAGCCGTGGGAGGATCGACAGATGTGGTTAGTTGCGTGCTGCAGCACTGCGATGTCTCGTGTCTGAGTGCCAAAACCAAGGTGGGACAGGACCGGCCACAAGTCCATTTGGACTATCAGACAATATCACTATTGTGGCTTGCGAAAGCCATTCGTTGTGGGCCCTTCGACCCGGGTCCGCTGGAATGCAGTGATAGGGGGCCTTTGTGAGCAGCGCAGGCAGTTCCGCCAATTACAACGGGCACCTTTGCATCGATCGCCACAAGGCACGTCGGCCTGTGATCCCGCGAAATGCGCGGTGACCGCCCATTGACCTCACGCTCACCGCCTGTTGACCGCCTGCCAGGCACCCTTTGGCCCTCCAACGTACTGACCCCAGCTCCCAAAGCTGTCCGCTCCAATCTGTCGCCAGCGGTACCACACTGGGCAGAAAGGGTCGCCTTTGCATCGCCGCTCAAAACCACCCAACCCATCTTTCCGTGTGGCAAGCGCAAAGATCGCCTGTGTTGGTACAGTGTATTGTTTGTTATATCAAGCTGGCAGTACTTATGATACTTGCCCATCAAATGAGGCAGGCCCACAAACAGTGCAGTGCAAACCTCTGCGGCAATGCAGCATGTCAACAGCCCCTTGCCACACTGACGCTCAAGCTAGCACCTTGGAGCCCACGCCACACGCTGTGTTGCTGGCCACGGGCCCATGGACTTCCATGAATTTTTGACACGGGCGATCGGCGTCTCCTGCTCTTGGTGCTGTGCGAGGTTAGGAACTCCCATCGGATCCCACTGGCGACACATCTGTTTCCTAATAACCCTGGATTTACAGTACAAGTAGGAACATGATTTGGGGCAATACACCACATCTGTTGTGTGACATCAAATTTAACCATCACCCAGCAAAAAGCAGCGTAGATGTGGGATGACGCCTCCCCACCTTCAAGCCATCGATTGGAAGCAGCTGGTGGAGATGACAATCGACAACATTGAGCACATACAGCACAATATCGCAATTCTGAAAATTCTGTTGCACCCGTGGCAGGATGGACGGACAGTCCCTCATTACGGATCTGAAAGAGGATCAACAGCAGTAGTCAGAGATGCCGCCTTGCTGAGCGCCAAGACTGAGGTGGGGCAGAACTGGTCATAAACACTTTTGGATGGTCACGGAATGCCACTGTTGTGACCTACCAAAAAAAAACACGCTGTGAGCCCTTTGTCCCATTGGCATGCAGCAAGGGGGCTGTTGGTGTGCGGCAACGCTACCTCCGCCAATCACAACAGGCGGCTTTGCACGGATCCCAAAGGCACGTCGGCCTGTGCCCAAGCGGACTGCGCACTGACCGTTAGTTGACCACCCCCTATATGCTGTTGACCAGCCGTTCACCAACCGTTGAACAGCCATTGCCGTCACGCTCACCGCCCATCGGCTACCCTTCAGCCCAGGGCCCAGGGCAGGTCTGGCCCCTCCAATCCGTCGTCTGATGCAAGACAGGGGCCAGAAAGCGGATGCCTGTGTGTCCCCACCACCCTCACCCCCAAGGCCACCTAACCAGACTTTCCCCGAAACCAGCATCAAAATCACTTGTGGCCCTGCGTGTTGTATCTTATGCGAACGCCATTGAATCCACTTTGTGTGAGTGTCAATGGAGCATCCATATGCTGCAATGAGCTTTACAGACTACTGGTAAAGAATAGTAGCAGTATTTTACATT